CGCTCAATTATACAGTACAGTAGACATTTTACAAAAATATCTAGTAACATATAACAGAAGAATGCCACAACTGATCAGAATCAAGTATTCCAGACATAGTATAGTGACAATGTATCATGTAAAAAGTCCAATTCTAGCAAACAACATTGCATTTACGTGTAAACATGTCTGACCTGTGCTTTCTTACAAACAGGTTTATTTAGCCCTAATCATTTTGCCTGGATAAGGATTTGTCCTAGCTGATGATGACTTATCTTTTTGCAGTATGTGGGTGATGAGGAGTTTGGGGAGACTATTAAAAGCTACAGCTCAGTGAAGAAGGAGCAAACCATGTTTACAGACACTCACTTGTAAAGCCTTCACACGGAGAACGTCCTTGGGAATAGAATTCTTCTCCAATTTATTCTGCAGATGAGTGAATTTCACATTTACAACAATAAAATAAGGCAGTGATGGTATATTGGTTTGTCCATGATAAAAAATAGTGGAATGTAACAGGAAAATATCTGTTTTTCATAATGCTGGAATTCTTTTGTCAGAGATGTGTTAGTGTATGTGCATATTGACTACCTCTGACTTCATTGCTTCCATATTAATCATAGAATGACTTATTTACGTTACTACGTGCTTATATTCCTTTTATTTTGTTTAAAAGAAAGTCTTTTTGAATATCGTATTTTCAGGGTTTCACACACTCACAAGCCTTGATTTTTCCTCATAGACCCAGGGGCTGGAGTCACGAGAAAATTCTTAAGATAAATTCTAAGAAGTTCGTAAGAATGTTCCTAAGTGCAATTCAATCAATGAATCTTAAAAATAATCTTAAGGAAAAAGATAAGAACATTCTTCAAAACTCTTTTTTTTTTAAGTTAGAAAATAAGAACAAAATAGCAGTTTAGAAGAATTTTGTTCTTATGAATGTTTTATGAATCTGGCCCCAGAAGCGTAATGCCCATTCAAACTTGGTTGTTGTTTTTTTAAGCTAAGTGGATTTTAAATAGAATTTTCCAAAAGTTTTTTTTTTATCTTTTATAACTATCTTGCGGTATTGTTGGAGGTATAAAATCCATTACAGTGACATTTTAAAATCCAGTCGAGCTTCAACTTCTGCAGATCATTTGCAAAACTGAAAATTGGTATTATTTACCCCTCGTCATGTCGCCCAAAACTCTTATGACTTTTTCCAATGGGACATTAAAAAAATTATTAAAATGATTCTTAATACCTAACCCCTGATTTCACACGTGTACATGTGATTATCGGTTATAGATAATCTTTGCTGTAAAATGTGCTTAGCATTGATGCAGAGAGGAAGCAAACTGTTCTTAAAATAGCACTGTAGTATTATAGCTTTAAATGGAGTCTTATGACTGGCTGTGTAGCTATGAAATATTACCGCAATCATAAAGTATTAATGAACTGAGTCTCCAAATTATTCATGCCAACATAGAGAGGAAGTCCATTTCTTCTGTCTCTACAGACACATGAATGAGGAAGATAATCAATCCAGTAGACATATCCTAGGCCTAGACTATCTGTATTAACTCTTTCCCTTCCAGAAAAAAAAAAAAAAAAAAGTTACCAGCCACCGCCAGCATTTTTAATTTTCACAAAACTTTCATGGCCCCTAGAATATTTTGTTTTATAAATATCTGAAAATGATATATATCAAAAGAAAATACAGAGCTTTTGGTTTTAAACAAAACAAACAAGCAACATTTTGAACTGAACAGAAAGCTGAGAAAATTGCGGGACGGGGGGATTTCAAAGACTACAACATGCTAAAGCAATGCTTTTGTCGCTTGTTTCTGCTTCTTTTTGCCTGTGTTTTGATACGGAACTTCTGTACTCTTTCAGAAGATGCGTAATAGCGCCCCCTATCGTATAACAGTGAAAACAAGGAAAGCTGGAAAAGTCTGTCACTGGCGGGGAAAGAGTTAATGGAAATGACAGCTAACGTGGTGTTGTGCCTGCTAGACTGAGCAGTGTGTACGCAACTGTGATGATGCCAATGGACAAAGTGTCTTAAATGTCAAGTTAAACTGCAAAAATTGTCATCAATGTCACATGTGGATGTTTTTCATAGGTTGTTTTAAACCTGTCAAGTGTGAATATATTTATACACGTTATTATTATTTCACATAGATATTAGTCAAATTAAAATGGCACTATCCTAAAAAAACATATTTTTACATGTATTTTTTTTAAAAGATGGTCAGTATTATTTATTGTTGCAATAATTTATTTTTATTTTTTTGTAAAACAGCTTACGCTAAGTTTAATCAGAGGTTTGTGTGCTTATTGTGTCTTGTACGATGGAACAAGTGCTCCTATATATGGACAATCGTTGATCTAGAAAGTTGTGAAATGTAAAAATGTTGTGCTTGTAATGTTGATGTTTCCATACTTATAAAAAAAAGCAAAGAGTCAGTTCTATTTGGTTACTTTATTGTGCCACTGGAGCTGAGTACCAATCTGCAGTGCATGTACTGTACCATTTTCACATATTTTGTTCCATATTTCATGTAGCATGAGCTGTAATTTCCTCTTTAAGCCACACCATGATCTGCGCAGCAGGTAAGATAAAACAGTCTTGATATGATAAAACATAAAGCAGTCTTCTTGTTAGATATAACATACCTAATCTGCATATTGAAATGAAGAGGACTCATCTTGCCTGGGGATGAAATCATACAGTATCCAGGCTGAAAACATAAATCAGGTTGTGACTATTTCTGAATGCAAGCATAAAGTATCATACTTTTGTCAATATAATATTCCCCATCACTGAAAATTAGAGAGCCAATAAATGACATGGGGGATCTTTTTAGAAATGTTCAATGAAAAAAATAAGACTAGATTGCTTAAATGTATGCATATCTGGTTTTGTTATCAAAAAAAGATAATACACCAGCAAACCAGTTTTTTTTTTTTTATCCTTAAAAAGGATTTTATAGATTTATGAGCAACATAATTTTAGGCCTTGACAGGTTAAACATGCAGATTTTCCAAGGGGTAATTATTTTCATTCATTTTTCTAGCTTCATGCTCTTGTCCAAAGAACTTTCTGCTTTTCTTTTACTCATTATTAAATTTCAGGCTATGTGGCCTAATGTCAACTAAATGTTTACACATATTGCATAGCATTAATGAATCTCATCATTCCCATCATAGTAAGTACATACTTTGTTAAAGGCTTCTATTTATACAATTTAAATAATAATCTCCCTTGCAACATATAACTATATTAATAGCCTATATTGGATATGTATCACTGATATACTGTATATTTCTCTCTGGTAGGATATATATCCTGTACACAAAGTGTAATGACTGGGGAAAAGTGACCATGCTCATCAGTTTACAATGCAAAATAAGATCCAATATCCAATATGTCAAATATAAATAATCCATTACCATGTATTCTTATTAACAGAAGTCGAAATGCAAATGATAAAATTATACTTTGTAATGACATTATTCACAACATGTTGATTAATTTAGACATTAGACGTTTGCATTTTAAATACAGAGAAAATCCATTAGTACAAATATTTTTCATTTTGAATTGTGCATTACCTTAAACATGCTTTTTCCTTTTTCTCTCTTGTCTTGATAAGTGTCTTATTCTGTGAGCTGAATTGTAAATTTGGCTTCACTTAAACAAGTTGCATAATGGGATAATCCTACTAACCCAACCCCTCACGTCAGGAAAAAAGCGAACTCTGTTTTGATTTCTCGCGGCATCTTAATTAACAAAAGGCACTGAATAAATCCCAAAAATAGATCGAGCAAGAAAAAAATCTCCTGCAGATGCATGCTGAAAGTTCACAGAGAGCAAACCGTTTGAACGGCAGCAGCAGTGGAGTCTAACCTGCACTTCAAACCTGATCATTAGTTGAAGTTCACCTTTTCAATCCTTTCATTATAAAGGGATGTAAAGACAGACAATAAAGTGCATCATAGTGTTTTGAAGGTACCGTTAGTGGACAGTAGCATTTTTAATAAAGCAACAATTTATAAGAGAATAGCAAGCCATTAAAGCAATAGTCTGCCTGCATGTACTTCTTCAACCCATGTATAAAGGAGCGGAGTATCCAAACTGATCATTTCCATACCATGATAGCAAATGAGGACCTCGGATGTCAACACAGATTATCAAGACAAGGCTTTCAATTGTAACTTCAACTTTATTCTGTTCCTCAGACAGACCTCTGACTATAAAGTATTAGCCGAATGGACCACTTTTGTTTTTATATTGTTACATTCTCTGATCTTTTTGGAGTTTGAGAAGCCCTGCTCACCATCCAAGTTCATTGTATGGAATAGAGCAGCCCAGACATTGTGATAAACTTATCGTTTGTTGACCCATGAAAGAAATGGGTTTTAAATGATACGTGGGTGAATTTAGTTTAAATTTTCAAAAACAAGATAAATCTAACACTAGAAATCTATAAACTACAATCGAACACATTGCTCGTTTAGATTTTGCAGTGAAAGTGCAGGCGTACAAAGCAGGGGCCTTAATTATAAAACGTGCGTATGCACAGATTTCATCTTAGTGCGTACGCTAAAATCCACGCTAGGGTTCATATTTATAAACAGTGCTTAGCGCCACATCAGGTTCTAAGCAGGGATGCACTTTACCTTGAGGCAGAGAGCAATTCTTGCTTCACTCTCAAGTAAAGGATTTGGACTGGTGTTCTTGTTAATGACAATAGGGGGCGTTTACAAGGCGGAGATCTGAAACCATTCAGGTGCGCACAATTTCAAGATCGTTTGCAATGTATAGATTTCAGATCTGGAGGAGTCTTTTCTCGAAATCACACATTTGAGAAATGATCTTAGGCCAAATGTAGGATGGTTTCTATGCAAGATTTTATAATTGAGGCCCCATAACTCTTAATTAGTTGAATAAAATCGATTGAGTCTGTTTTTGTTAATTTGCTCCAGTGAACTTTAGGCAAATGTATCTAATTTTTAAGCTTGTAAAAAGCAAAATCAAATCTAAACTAGTTAACAAGACACATGAAGAAAAGCCAAGCGGCCATTTCTGTGGAGGATTTTCCCTTTAGTTCTGTACACAGTGAGGTTTTTTTAGCTGTCAGCTGCCATCCTGCCAAACCTTCTGATCAACATTCACATCTACATCCTGAAACGCTTCTCTTCTGGAATCATCGATTCAACTACCTTGAGATTATTGTATTTGGTATGACAAATCTGAGTAAAGCATCACTCACATGCAGCGTCAGGGCCCTTGCGATGGCGTGGGGATGTGGCCACTTTCGTTGGCGAGGGTGAGGCGGTGCTGGACGAGTCGCTGCCCCCTCCATCAGCTGCTGTGGGTAGGGGGCTCAGCTGTGGAACCGGAGGTGCCTTTTTCCTACTTAGAAAATTCGCTTCAAATGTCCCTTTCCTCCTCCCCACCTCCGCTCTGCAGTCCGCAGCCCCCTCCTCCATCAAATGAACTCTTCGTCGCTGGTCTCCAGGGCTGTCTGGGGGTTTGCGTGCGGCTGAAGACGGGGTTTCGGAAGCTCTAGACCCCCAAAGATCCACGGTAGAGTTTCTTTTGTCTGCGTCCTCAGTGCTGTTCTCCCCCGCAGACTGGCGTATCTCGTCCTCGGTGGATCCGCACTGTCCATGGTTCTCCAGCAGGGCTTTGGTGAGGTTTAAGCCGTGGAAGTCTCTGTAGCTGTGGAAGCTCTCTGTGCGTCGAGCACGGGCCAGCAAGGGGCTCTCTCGGTACGGCCGCAGGGCTCCGTAGGTGGCTGTCTCAAAGATGGGCTCCTGAGCCTGCAGCTGGAGACTGTAAAAATGACAAAATACTGTATTGCTAATATTGTATTTTAACGTAAGAGTTGCTGCAGAATGTGTCTGGCTTCCAGTGTCATCCAGTTATTTGTAGCTATATAAAACAGCTTGTTATGCTGCTTGATATTGCAAACTGGTATTTCTTACTATATTATTTTAACATATTGTTATAATCATAAACTCAGTGGTTTGCAGCACAAATAGTTTTACCACTTACTGCACTTTCTTATGCCTCTAATTATTTACCTATAGAGCAGCTAATGAATCGGAAGTATTGCACATTCACAGAAAATAGCTTACTTCCGTGTTGCGAAATAAAGTGGATATGATGACAAAGTTAATCTCTAGATTCATTAAGAACATTAAAGGAATTGCTCACCCAAAAAATGTAATGAATGTCATTATTTATTTACATTATTCACTTACGATATTACTTAAAATGTATATTTTTGTAGATCTTTTCCATACGACAGTTTATAATGACCACGTCTGTCTTCGAAAAGGGCAAAAAGGAGTAAAAAAGTAGCATATGCATAATATGCAGTATATTCTTAGTCATCTGAGAGCTTTCAGTGAGGAAAGGACTGAAATATAGGATGATCTTGTGTGACTGCCATAAACATTTGTCAATTTTTTTAAACCTGTGCTTTTAAATTAAAAACAAATGATTGAATTGCTATTAAAGCCACATTACTCTTGAAGTCTCATATTATTGAAGATTACCTTATGTGATCAAATTTAACAAAATAAATGTATGTGGTATCCAAAATTTTGATTTATGAGTGAAAAACACCCAAAACTTGGTCCCTTCACATAAAGAAGACTAGGAATACAGCGGCAGTCATTTAGTTGTATGGCTCTTTTAACAGCTGTGGTCACTATGGAGTAACTCTTTTTTTTTAAGACCTGTTCACGTCAAATCCAAATCAAATAAAAATGAAAATATAAAACGTAAACTTTTTTGGTACCAAAGCTATACACACATGCTGAATTTTATCGTTGTTTGAGCTTGAATATCGTAATGACAGCAACATTAGAAATTTCATCTAGCCCCCAAATACTAAATAATGAAGGAGTTAAATCTTGTGGTGCAGTTTTATTCCAATAATTCCGACTTTGGACTCTAGTACCTGGAGCAGGACTCTCGCAGCCGGCTGTGCTGCAGCACTGAGGGGGCGGGGCTAATGTTGGGCGTGGCACAGCGAGATGTGCTCAAATCACATTGGTCAAGCAGCTTCAGCAGCTCCTCCTCAGTTGGACCTCCCACCTCTGCAAACAGGAAACATCCATTTTAAACTTAATCCAATAGGCTTTTTATATGTACCTTTTTTCCAGTACAGTAATAATCAGACCTGGCTCACGCCTAGCCTTATCATCAAGGCTCTTGTTGACTGTGTCCATGGCGGTGGTGAGATCCCACATCTGAATGCTCCCGTTTGCATGGCCAGTGAAGAGGTAATGGCGTGGCCTGGAGCCCATGCGGCTCGATCCCTCACACTCCCGCACTGTAAAACAAGTGATTGTAGTGCCATCTACAGACTGCACCTCACAGATCCTGAAAGACAGATAGAAAAACATCAATACAAAATTAATTTATTCATTCATTTACTATTTTTATATTATATCAATTAGTGCTGGGTAACCCTTTACAAAACGGTTCTATTTGTTAAAGTGCCCCAATTATGGATTTTTGAAAATGACCTTTCATGTAGTGTGTAACATACAGTAGCTCTAAGTCAGTGGTTCTCAAAGTGTGGGGCGTGCCCAAGGTTACTGCGGGGCGGGGCGGGGGGTGGAGGAGGGGTCTTCTGAAGATGTGCTTTTCTATGTCCAATGGGCGAATCACAAGCCACCAGATTTTTTTAAAGTTTTAAAGGGGGGCGCGACCAAAGTAGTTTGAGAACCACTGCTCTAAGTGAATGAAAACATCCTGCAAAGTTTTAAATCTGAAAGTGCACCGTATTTAAAGTTATTTGTCTTCCAAAAGTAAGAGTCGACTCTGAGTCAATGAAATAAATAGTTTTTCAAACGAGTCATAAGCCGTTTCGTTGTGACGTCAAGATGAAACATTAGCATATTGCCCGCCCACTTATTGCTAGCACAGACACCAGGGAAAACTTGAAAATCGATGTCATTGTTCGTTACTGTGTTTAGTTTACGGTGTAGGAAGCCTCAGTACAAGCAGAGCTGACATTGTTTTGGCAATAGGCGTTTTTGTTTTCGGGACGTGCGCTGTACGCGGTAGACCAATCACAACAGACTGAGGTGTCTGGCCAATCAGAGCAGAGTAGCTTGCGGAAAGGAGGGATTTAGAGAGATTGATTCATCTGACGAGTCGTTTGAGAATCATTGAAATTGTGGTGATGTGCAAATGTATATTATGAGAAAATGAAACAGTTTTTTGACCTTTGATGCATGTACACTAATGTTGTTAGGAAACTCCAAAACAACATTAGGAAACTTTAAAATAGCATAATAAGGGCACTTAAAGATAAACTACTGTAACAATGAAATACATGTGTGTATATTAGAATATTCTTTTTTTTCCCAAGTGTTATTTATGTCATATTGTATGATATACTTCTTAGCTAAGATTTGTATCATAATTGACAGCAGTGACTGGCCATGTTAAATCAAATGCCACGTCGGCGATATTGAAGTATTTTTAATAGTACACTCATAATTCTAAATAATGAGATAGTTATTTTGCATATCATGTGTATTTCAACACAAAAACTTGCCGCAACCTACTGGTGGTTTTAGTTTCATATTTAGAGTATAATTAAAACATTTTATTCACATTCATGCCTTCATGCCCATAATGATATGGTCACATTATAACCTTAAAAGTTAACGTGTAGTTAATTCAGTTTTCTATCAAAATATTTATTTCTAAAGCTACTTTTTGTAATATCTATTCAATGCTTTTCTTATCACACAATAATGACTTTTAATGATCTTTAATGAACTTCTCAGCCATATTTAGCAAGGATGCATTAAGTTGATCAAAAGTGACAGTGAAGAAATTTATAATGCTATAAATCATTTCTATTTCTAAATAAATCTGAAAAGAAAGAAAAATGTATCATAGCTTCCACCAAAATATTAAGCTGCACAACTGCTATATATATATTTTTTTTTACAGTCTATGATTTCAACATGTACCTCTTCCCCGTAGAGGACAGACGAACAAAGAGTTTGTTGGTAATGGGAATGACTTTCTGAATGAACACCTGTTGGTCGTCTCGCTCTCCAAATGGACCTGAATAGAAACAGCACATGATTAGAACAGCAGTTCAGCTCACAGGACAATGGAGGAAAATAGCAGCTTCTCAGTTCTTCTTGTACCTTCACTTCCTGATATGGTGGAAATCTACAATCAAATCTCTCACCGATGTCATTGCCGGAGGAATAGCTGCTGTGGCTCTCTGTCTCCTCCAGTGAGATGATTTTAAAGGAGGCCAGTGGAGTAGATCCTGGCTGAGTGGAGATCATTCCCCTGAACCGAGTCACCGTCCACGTGCGTACATGATTATTGTCAGCGCACACTTCAACAAAACAAGGCCAAAATTATAGATCACCATCATTTTTCATTATATTGTCCAGTGTCTGTGTAGTTTGTACCTGAAACTAAGTGTTTTTCAGAGAGCATGATCTTAGTGACGGGGCTGCGGTGGACAGTGAAGGTCTGGAAGAGCTGTGGACCAGATCCAACGGTCTCTGGATGCTGAACGATGACACGCACGGCCCCTGAGCTGGTTCCGTAAGCTATCTCAATCCAGTTCCCACTCACACCTGCAAAAACACAGTGAGATCAGTGACTGATCAGACTCACCACCACTTCATTGAGTAATTAACCATCACTGGACGCACTGGTTTTAGGAGTCAGGTAGACACTGAGGGCTGTGATGGCATCATTTGACGGGTCGTGGTACAGCTCTGTCACCAACAAATCATTATCCTTCATTCTCAGCGGAAACTTCTGCATGTCTGAGAGTGGAGAGAATAAGGTTATTTAAGTCTTTCCTTTATGATCTTCTCATTTAACATATTTCATGTACATAAGAAGATATTTTAAAGAATGTTGGTTACCAGACAGTTGAAGGCACCCATTTTTTTCCTACTGTGGAAGTCAATGGCTACCGTCAACTGTTTGGTTACCAACATTCTTTAAAGTATCTTCTTTTGTGTTTAACAGAAGAAAGAAACTCATACAGGTTTGGAACAACTTGAGGGTAAGTAATGACACAATTTTGGGTGAACCATCCCTTTAAAATTTGACAAAACTTTATAAACTTCAAACACGTGGATCACAGAACTACATTTGGATGATGAATTGTATATGAGTTTGTGACCTATTTACTATGTGAAATTAATTAAACTGATGTCTTTATGCAATTTTAATTACATTTTCAACACTGATTCTGTTACTGCCCGTTTTACATCTCATTAATGACTCATGTCATATACAAATAAATTCACTGCAGTTGAGAGAAGATAAGCAGCTTACCAATATAGTAAATTGAGCCGTTATTACAGCCCAGCAAGAGAAAGGAGCCAGCGGTGTCACAGCTTGTGATGGGCACCACATCCTGCACCTGGACAAGTGATATATTGCAAACGACATAATCAAATATGAAACCTGATTGTTAATGAAAAAAAATTAAACTGGCATGACTGTTGTAGTATAAAATCTGAATTGCTTTACCTGCCAGTGCTGGGTGACGGCGTTCCACACTCCTACCTTTCCTGTGTGACTGGTGGCGACTAGCTGACTCCCAATGAAAAACAGAGAGTCAACGGGTACTCCGAGACTGAACACACCTTCACAAAGACAGAGAAACATTATCTCACAAAATCTGCACACATGAGTGACTCTGCATTTCATTTCTGTTCTGTCCTCCCACCTATTTCACTTCCGCTCCCTCCGTCCTGGATACTCCACAAAATAATGCTGCTCTCTGATGACGCTGCCACCATCTTGTCTTTATCTCCATGTGGGCCGCCCACAACTTTAGCATTAAGGGCCACCCGCTCAATGGCCCAGTCCAGGTAAGGGCTGGAAAACACCTGCTGCCAGCCTGATGATTCCTTTATCCTAAAAAACAATCACAGTCGACCTATGGTGAGTATAACCTTTATTATTTTATATTTCAAAGTCATGTGATATGTAGCTTTACCTGTAGCAGATGACAAAATGTGCATACGCAGCTACAATCCAGTTATGATGGCCAGCCACAATCAGCACCTTTCTAGGGTCCACTGGTGATCCTATTTCAACATAAAAATACAAAACAATAACCCAGTATGTTTAAACACCAGTAGGTCTAAATGTAGTACATTAAACTCAAATAAAACTACATTTGTCAGAATATTAAAACCTTCAGACTAAACTCAATCATGCTCACTGTCTTTTTTTTGTTTAAATGTATTTATGATTTATATAAGAATTAGCACATAAACCTTCACCATATTTCCAGTTCTGTGGCATTCAGTGGATACTGTAATACTGATAGTAAAATCTATTCATAATTTAAGAAATAAAGTTTCAAGCTTATGCATTAAAAAAAATATGATAATACAGTAACAAGCATTTTATGATGTTTTAACTGCTGGCTGTTGCCTATTATTAGTGGTGACTATAGTAAATTTCTTTTTGGACCATTTCAACAAATCATCTGCAATGATTTGTTCTGTTCTGTCAATTATTACACAAATTATCTGTGATGTGGATTCTATATGATTTTCAGTTTGCATTGTGATAAATAAATGCACCAAAATGCAATAAAATGGTTAAAAAGAAGGCCAGTCTGTTAACTTGCGCTTTCTCTCTTTCTCTCTCTCTCTTTCTCTCTCTCTCTCTCTCTCTCTCTCTCTCTCTCTCTCTCGACTTTGCTGGGCACAGAGGACATAAAAGCCCTTTTAAAATGACCTTACCCTGCCTACTGCACTACTGCGTGTAAGGGGAATACTGTCTTCATGGCACACCCACACCCCTCCTCTCTGTCTGCCTATACCAGAATGGAGCAGATGCTGTTCTCCAGTCTGTATTAAGACAGCTAATAGCCAATTATACAGCTATTTTACTGCTACACTATTAATACAGCTTTCAAATTCCACTAAAACCCGAGAATATCTGAGCTCATAAACAAGCTCTATCAAAGGTGATTATACAGTGATGATTACGATATATATATATGGTATTTTTGTATTTTATATAAACATAGCAGTTGTGCAGCTTAATATTTTGGTGGAAGCTGTGATAAAACATTTTTTTTAAACAAGAGAGGGGGGGGGCACTCTATCACACAGCACTCTTGCTCGATATTGCTAAACTACTGTTTATCATATGATATAAATATAAGACAAAACCCCATACATGTGCATGGGTATTTTAGTCTACTTTAGTACTTTATGTCTTTTTAACTATATTTTTTTATAAAAGTGTGGTTTATATATATACATACACACGCATGTGTTTTTTACTCAGCATCTTTAAACATCTTTAAACCATATTTGGTCCCTGAAAGGCTTGTACTCACCCAGTCTTTGCGGTCCATCTGCCCCAGAGGGTCCAGGGAGAGAGGACTGAGGGCAGGAACGGAGGTAACCCCCCTCTGCACCACTGGGGCCTGAACGCTCCTCTGGACCTGCAACAGCTGCAGCCTGACCACCAGCACTGCTCCTCGCAGGGAGAGCTGAAGGACGCAAATACCAGGCACATACTGATGTTAGAGTTATATTTGGCTGAGAGGAAGAAACGGTGACTGTTTTAGTCTCTTTCTTCTACAGATCTACTCTCGCCCTACCTGGTGGAGGGAGGTAGCCATGAAACAACACACTTCCACACGATGATCGCTCCAGTTCTTCACAAAGCAGTAAGCGGCGGACTAACCATATCAGTGACAAATAAAAACACAAGGCAAGAATTATACATAGATGCAACTGTCAAGTGATCATAAAAAATATGTTTTAACAGATATATCTAGTCCAGTTATGCCATACCTAATGGTGTAATACCATAAAACTCAGCTTCATGTCGCAGGATACTTATGTTAACCCCCCTATCAGAGAAAGCAGGAATATTACACACATAAAAAACTATGCAGATACTATATATTTCTGGGATATGAAATGGATAACAAATAGGCATATCATATCTCACCTCATGTCCAATTCTTTAGTTCGAAGGAAGTTTAAAATGGGTGCAAATGCTGTTGGGTCTCTATCAATAAATATCTTGTAGAAAAAAAATCTGATTCAGAGTTGGAAAACATTTCTAATTTTATTGCATCTGAAAAAACTTTTAAATGATTTTTATTATTCATTAAGTATTTTCTTGTTGTTATTGTTTTTTTTCTTAATTTTTATACACAATTACAGGTACAAATGGAACATAGGACTTTGGGTCAATCAAATAATTTTTATTGCTAATTAAATATTACATATTTCTACTCACGGCTCCAGTTTCATCCCGTAGCGTTGATATTCTCCCACTAAGTAAACTGGGCAGGAAAAACACATTTATACAAAGCTATGCAATGTCCATAGTATAATGACTACATTAGTTTAATTATCAACAAGAATGGGTAGAGCTTTAGCAAATTTGCATACAAAAAGGATATCAGGTGTGCTAATTCTGGGAGATCTATTAAAGGGTTTATATCATAACAAATCAAATTTTACCTTTAACTTTTCAGATTGATATATAACATAGCCTGTACAAACTTCAGAACTCAAAACTTTCTCCCAGTTCAAAAAAATAACAACAAGGCTGTGGTGCTGCTTCAAACATCTTATCTTACCTTGAGAAGAAGGAGTCAGGAATCCATGTCAGAGTCTGCCTTGATGTGCTAAATCTGAAAGCATGTAGATACGATTTATGATGCAATCACTTCTGATTTCTCTTTCACTTCATGAGCTTGAATGATCTAATATGCAGTTTACAGTTATTGTTTTAACAGTAAAACAAATAAAAATTAATAGGGGTCACCTAAAACGTGTAATTTATTTATTTATTTTTTGCAAAGTACAATTTAATATAGTATTAATAATTAAAGTAAACATTGAATTTTGGGGTAAATTGTGGCATCTTTTAAGTTTTTGTTTTGTTTGTTTGTTTCTTTTTTTGTTTCATTTTTTCTTTAATTATGATGATATTTTAGGGTTTTGGGATATATCACGATATAGTTTAGGATAGCATATGTAAAACGGGGGATGAAGGAACTGTATTGTCTTGGTCCCGTTATGTAACGTAATAATATTCATGGCCCTGTTCAAGACGTGTAGACTGAGTTCAAAATCATGTGCTTTGTAGTTTAAGACATGGTTGTTACCGTTACATATTAGCGCTCATCACATCAAAGTCAAAAGCCGCTGCACAGCATTTCATCTCAAATAAAACTGTTTTGACTCCGAGTTTATGTAAAGAAGTCATGACGTCAGCGTACCTCATTCCTCCGACATTCAGCTGGATGATGTCACCCATTCCAGATGTTGAACTGTTCCCAATTCCAGCCATCCTCTAATTCCGCACGGTTAGCGAGGAGGAATGCACGCGATCTGAATATCCAGTTTGTGCATCGATCCAGCTGGAGTCCTCAAGATTCTCTTTATTCTTCCTCACGACCCAGCGAAACCATAAATTATGCGTCACAAGAACGGCGTATGAGATGGAACTGTTCGTACACAGTGTTTTCCATATTCAGAGTTTTAATAGACAACTCAAAACATGGCCTTCAATTATCAAAGGCCCCTTTCTGTAGCCTATGGGACTTGGGATAGCTACGTGCAGTGTTGTGGGCGCCATAGAGCGATGCTAGAACGCTGTGGACTCATCAGAGCGTCAGCCAATCGGATAGCGTCATTCCTGACACAGGACGCAGACCCCGCCCAGTGTGTTTTGGAAGTGTATCTTGAGCATAGACCTTGAGGCTGGACTTCTCACATCTATAGTCTTAAAGGTGTACTCAATATTTTTTTATTGCTAATTACATTTTTAAATTAAATTAAATATTAAGTTTTTACAAATGAAAAAATGATAAGCACTTTTATTAAAACATCAATTAAAAAGACATTTACTCTAAAATGCACTCTTACACTCACGCCAGTATTCTAGATAAAACTGTTTTATTCTAAAGGCGGGTCGCCCCCTCGAGTGCCGCGATATTTCCAATACCAGCTGTTTCATGCAGGGCAGGCCACTAATAAATGTTTACTTAGTGATTTCAGCCAATGTTCAAAGCGCTTTAAGAAGCATAAACAACATGTCTGCCCCCCTGAGGCGACTCGCCCCATGTAAAATAGAACAGATTTGTTCAGGTTACCGGGATGACTGGTCTTCATGTGTTAAGGTCTTCACACTGGTCTTCACCTAATGTGAGTGAACATGAAACATTTTGCAGAAGTAGCCAATAAATTATTTCTTTATGGGTAGAATGTTTTTTTTTTTGAGGAACAAATTGATGTTATTGTAATGCACACTACAAATGAAGTATGCTACATAGTGTGCACTACAAACTTATGAATTACAAAAATCGAATGCTAAGTGTGTATTACAAAGCTTGTATGCACTACAAATAGTATGCACTGCAAAACTAGAATGCAACTATTAAAGGAGTCATAATGTAGTATTAACTTTGATACCCACGCTCTATTATAGTCATTTCATGCCCTTCTAAAAAAGAAAAATTGGAAAAAAATAAACACAGAGCTCGTTTGACCCTTATTTCTGAATGCATTATTGTCTCGCGAGATCTGATGAGAGGTTTTGGCCGTCGTGGACGGTCATTTTAATAATGCAAATGAGGGGCGCGTTGATTGGTGGCAGGAAGGAGGGGGCTTGACACCGCAGGTAACTTCAGCATATCATTCCAAAAAGAGATCATGGCGCAAGTTGTTAATGAACGCGACCTGGCCGCGACCTAAGGGATTCAACCGTAGGCTATATGTTTGAGCCAGACTCTGAACCAGAGCTGGAAACGGAAGAGGAACAACAGTCAATTGAAGGACGTCTACATCAACATGTCTCTGAATGGTAAAGACAATTTTTTTGACTGAGACATACATTAACATCAGTAACGAGCTAAAACGTTTTTTGCTATTTACTCCCACATAAGTTTAGCTTTAATTTAATGTAGATTACATTAACGGAGATGTAGTCTACTTTATTTTCAGTTTACAGTGGTTATAGAGATTAACGTTTGCTATAATGTGTTGTTTTTGCCTTTTTTGACGTTGTGGTTTTTTAGATATTTAATAATTTTCATCTGCAGACATGTAACGTTATGTTTTTCTTTATGTTTATTAATTCTTGACTGTTTTTTAAATTTATCTATCCTTATCTATTATATAAAAAAATCAATACAATGATATGATAGAATGATGGAACAGCGTCATTAAAAATAAATTTCATCCACTTGTCCCTTGTAGTTTGGTCAGTTTGGGGTAAACAAAAAACATTAGAATGTGGATTATGACAGTCAACCACAGAGCAACTCACGTGTGCACTATGTTTCTGCATCTTTCTTGACTGAATATGATGGGGAGAGGGGCAGGGCGGGCCTCCTCTGCGGTGTCCATATATGGTATATCCGGCCCCGTCTTGACGTCAAGCCGGGGGAGAAATTGAAATCTCGTATTTGAGTGCGTGTGCACGTTGGCTAGTTTAAGAACCCTGGGGTAAACAAACGCTTCACTTTTGAATATCGGCATCCCGGCCAATGTATAATCGTTAGTCAATCATAACATACATTGATTCTCATGGAAAAGTGAAAATTGCACATTATGACTCCTTTAAAAGCTACTTAGATTGCATTTTTATAGTAAAATTAATAGACAGAAAATTTGCGCACACACAGTCACAAGTATTATTGACTGAAACATTTTATTGCAGAAAATGGTGTTATTCAGGATTAAGGCATACGTCTTTCCTCATTTTCTTCATAATTTATCACCCTGTTTCAAGAACACTGCATTGACAGTACAGAAGAGCTTTTCTACTCGACCTTGTTCAAAAAAGCAGGAAGCTATGAAAGGAAACTATTCCTTTGTTTTTTCACAGGTTTCACTAAACCCTTATGACATGTAATAATTTCACAACCAAATATCATTTTTTATTATTTCCTTTGAGTGTTTTATGCTTTAATCCACATCTGTATCTGTCACAGCTTTAGCCTCTTTATTATTTGATTGGCTTGAAAAGTCCTAGTAATAAACAGCATTGTCATCACAGAAACTTTCAAGCCTGCTTAAAGTTTCAAGTCGCTGGACATCTCAGGTTATGAAGGTGATGTGAAAGGTGAAGAGCATGTATATGGAACAAGTGACTTATCAGGGCTGATGCAAATCAGAGTCTGGCTAAGAATTGCCATAAAATTCAAATTTGGAAGTATCCTAATTACTTTTAGTACACTAGTACACATAAATAACCATGCAGATCTTTTCTGGGAAGCAAGCTGGGGGATAAATAGAAGGAATGAACAAATACTGAGAATGGAATGCTTTACACGTCAGTTGTGAACAGTTTTTTCCTTTTTTTAAATAAAAATAATTTTGTAGTAAACAAAAAAAAAGATGTTAATGTACAAATATTATCGTCATATTAAAAGAAAAAAATCTGTATTCATACAGATGACTACACAAACATAACAAAAACTTAATGCAAAAGACATGGTTAAGCCACTGGAATCTGGTCATATCCAAAATATTACCTTAACTGCATATAAATAGCAAGAATAGGAAATGTCAAGTGCATGGAGTGTCACTAAGCCACAGTAATAATAATGTTTTTCTTCAGTTTTGTTTTCTTCAGTAATATAAATGTGTGTTGATAAGCTGCACTCATTTGAAATTAGCATAGTCAGAGTAGATGTCAACAAAATCTTGCACAACTCTGTAGCAGTAGTCATATTGTTCCTGAGAAGACAAATGAAAATACATTAGATCATAATTCACACAATGATCTGACAGTCAAAAACGATTCATTCTGTATTATTTTATTATAATACTATTTTCCATATTGTAATATAATAGTGAAGCAATCAGATCTAAAAAAGTCCATACTGTAATATATTAGTGAAGCCTTAGCCATGAGATCTATATGAATTTATGTATAGTGTTTTACATTCTTACCACAGTTTGGACCATATGTGGTCTCTGAGTGCGTAAACTCTTCACTGTCTGAAATACATCCAGTAACCCTTCGGCTTTGACCCGCTCTAAGATGTTACTGAGGGCAATGAAGGTTCCGGTCCGACCAGCACCAGCACTGATGTCATGAAGGAAAATACACACTTTTATGACTGGTTTTACAGGCTTACACACACACACACACACACACACACACACACACACACACACACACACACACACACACACACACACACACACACATATACACAGAGTCGTACATATTGTTCAAAAGCAAAAAATTTTGTATAAACTGTCTGTGTGTGTGTGTGGTCCTGGTAAACCCTACTGTATATTATGGGGACCAAATGTCTTCTCAAGGATAGTAATACCAACAATCGTTGACCTTGTGCGGACATTTTTTTTGGTCCCAATGAGTTAAATAGCTTATAAATCATACTTAATGATGTTGTTTTAAAAATGTAAAATGCATAAAGTTTTCTGTAAGGGTTGTTTCTACGCTTAGGGGATAAAATTTACAATTTTTACAGTATAAAAATAATTATGTCTATGGAAAGTCCTCATTAAACATGGAAACCTTACGTGTGTGTGTGTGTGTGTGTGTGTGTGTGTGTGTGTGTGTGTGTGTGTGTGTGTGTTAAGTGAGGGAGAGATAAAGGGTGTGTGTACCTGCAATGCACCACTATCGGGTTGTTTCCAGATTGCTGTTGTTGTTTTTGCACTGCAGCAATTATGTCAATCATTCCCCTTCCATCTGACGGGATTCCAATCTCTGGCCAACCATGGAAGTGGAACTGTCTGACTAGACGTTTCTGCTTCTCCTGCAAACAGCCCAATTCAGCCTCAGCATGGTCAACAAATTTAGCACAATAAAGGAAGCTCCTAATGTAAGTGAAGCGTATGATGGACCATAAAATGGTCAAATTCACTGCACGTTTAACTCACTGATGCATATGACAGCAACATGTCTCGAATGCTGAAAGTCTCACAAAGTGTGTCTCTCTTCAGCTCCAGTACATACTCTCCAAATGAAACGCTGCCCTCTGCTGGCCAGTAATGTACACACTTCTCCTGGAGAGAGAGTTGTTGGAAAGGAAGTGAATGCTTCAGGCATGAAAGAGTAACTGTTACTGCACCATTTATTAATGTCGATTCATATATAAATATAAAACAGTTCAAATATAAACCATTAAACTGTACCTGTTCTCTCTCTTTCAGCTCAGTCAGCATGACAAGAGAGTGGCACTTCCTTTCCCATACCATGCGCCAAAAGTCCTGCACAGTGTGAGCCAAAGGTGCCTGAGTTGCTATAAAGTAATCCTTTTGCCTATAACCCTGCAATGGTAAAGCATAGTGTTATGGGTACATTTGCCAATGTTTTTAATGATCTTTAAATATATTTATTAAAATGCATGCAAAACAAGAACTGAACAAATAGCCTGTATGTGTGCAAAATTACTATTATTTTAATAATAAAAAGTCAATCTACATAGCTTTTAATAGATGACACTAGTTTTGCAGTGCATGCCAGATTTACACACTACTCTGCATTTGATATTGGCAATGCATAATAGATTTGTAGTGCACACATCAAGTAATATTATATTATAATAATATATACTTACATCTATGAAAGATGCATTAATGTAGTCTGTGAATTCCTGCCCTCTTTTCATTGATAAAATTACCCTGTTGAAGT